GAAGAGGGAACAAGAAGACCGATCCTCGCGATAATTCGCCTGTGTTCTCGCGTTTCACGATAGGTGGAGCGAAAGGCTCGTTTGCCAAGCGATGTGCCTATTGGCCAAGAGCGAGGCTTCCTCCAGACTAGCCCCGCCCACGACTCTCTTCCGGTTTCCGGCTCCGGCCGGGGGTTTAAGACAAGAGAGCGGCTTTTTTCTTAGCATCTTGAAGGGGTAATTTAGCAGCCTCCGACTTCGGGAACTGCCCGTTACTGACCTGTTCTTCCATTCATACTTTTATTCAGGCACTCGGGCTTTCATTTGTGCATACGTTGAGGGGTTACAACAATAACACCCGACATTAAAGACTGCATTCTAAGAGCTGTTCATAGATGATCTCATTTAAACCCTGACAACAATCCCATGCCGCAGGGACTGACGTTACCGGACTGACGGATGAAAACCTGAGACAAGGGGGATCATGTAGCGTGGCCGACTTAGCAGGTAGTGGGTCTAAGCACCGGATTTAAGGACTCCCTATGCTCACTGATAGGTCCCCAAGATGAGGAGTAACCTCGTCTCTGCACTTCAGAAACCCAAGGTGTGTTATGAGAAACGATTGCTAAAAAGCACAATGACGATGTAGTAAGTTAAAGATTATGGAATTCTTAGCATGACTGAGTAGGCGTCAATCTTCAAGCCAAAAATTCCTCTGTCGGCGAGGGACCTAAAGAAAGAGGGCTTTATGCTGGGGATGGGGGGAGAGGAAGGAAATTCCTAGCGTTGTTCGGAAACTTTTTTTTTTTTGAGTCGGCGTCTCACTCTGTCTCCCAGACTGGAGTGGCACGATCACAGCTAGTGATCCTTCTGCCTCCGCCTCCTGAGTAGCTGGGACTACAGGCACGCCACCACGCCCGGCTTGCTGATTGACTGACTGACTGACTGATTGATTGATTGATTGAGACGATGTTGCCTAGGCTGGTCTCGAACTCCTAGGTTCAAGCAATCTTCCGGTCTGGGGTTCCCAAAGTGCTGGGATTACAGGAATGAGCCACCACACCTGGCCGGAAACACTTTTTAAAAGTCCACTGTTTAAATAGCATGCACCGAATTATGACAACTTTACTTCTTAAATGAATTTTTTTTTTTTTAAATTTCTACTGGATTGCTGATTTTTTTGTTCTTTGAAAAACCTGTGTTAGAGACTAATTGTCAAGCAACCTTAACTTTATAATGAACTAATTTTACGCTGGTTTATTTTATGACTCTTAGAGATGAATGACCTAGAAAGCAGAGGTATATTAAATAAAAATAACGTCAGTTCCAAAAGGAAGTATGCATTATAATAAATTAAATATCAATTACCTATTGATTAAATCTGGTTGTCAGGAGCTACTGAAGTATACGGCATGGATAAGAGTATGTCGTATTTTGAAGACATTTTATACAGTTCTTAATACCTAAGAATTTGTGACACAATTTTTTTTTTTTTGCTGAAATTAAGGAAACCTACATTTTGTGTAAAAACAAAAATTCTTAGGGTATTAAGGATGAACCCAAGTAAGACTTGCTGTTGTATGGAGTCACCAAAAAAAAATAAATAAATAACAACTGAAAGACTAATTTCTTAAGTAACCAAGGT